CCCCGGTGTCCCGCCGCTCCATTCCCTCTGTGTTCCCCCCTCCATCCCCCGGTGTCTGTCCCTCTATTCCCAGTCTCTGTCCCTATCCATCCCTGCTGCGTGTCCCCATCTCCACTCCCAGTGTGTCCCCCTCCACTGTAGGTGTGTGTCCCTCTCCATCCCCACCGTCCCGCCGCTCCATCCCCGCTGTGTCTCCCCCTCCATCCCCCGGTGTCTGTCCCTCTATTCCCAGTCTGTGTCCCACTCTCCATCCCCGCTGTCTGTTCCCCTCCATCCCCCGGTGTGTGTCTCCCTCCATCCCCAGTGTCCCGCCGCTCCATCCCGATTTGTGTCCCCATCTCCACTCCCGGGGTGTGTCCCTCTCCATCCCCCGTGTGTGTCCCTCTATTCCCAGTAGGTGTCCCTTTCCATCCCCGCTGTGTGTCCCACTCCACTCCCAGTGTGTGTCCCCCTCCATCCCCGCTGTCAGTCCCCATCCATCCCCCTTGTCCCGCCGCTCCATCCCCGCTGTGTGTCCCTATCTCCACTCCCGGTGTGTCCCTCTCCACTGTAGGTGTGTGTCCATCTCCATCCCCGCTGTCCCGCCGCTCCATCCCCGCTCTCTCTCACCTGTCGGGTGGCGGCCGGCGGTGCCTTATTGCTGCCGTCGAACGGGGGTGCGGGGGCGGCGCTGGTCTCCGCCGCCCCTCCCGGGGGGGGTCCCTTGATGGCGTTGGAGCTCAGGGCAGCCCCGGGCGCCGCCGCCCGCCCCGCCGGGGCCGCGCAGCTCAGCGCCGCCAGCAGCGCCACCAGCCCCCGCATCGTGGTGCCCGCCGTGCCCTCCGTGCCCGCAGAGTCCCCGAGCAGCAGCAGCAGCAGCAGCAGCAGCAGCGAGCCGCCAACAGCGGCTCTTGCGCTCCTGCGCCGCCTTTATACCCCCGGGGCTGCCTCCTGCCCGCCCCCTCGGGGCGGGGGGCCCGCCGGCTGCGATTTCAAAGCGTTCCCGGGGGGAGGCTGTGCCCGTGAGCCCCCAAAGCCGCCCCCACCCCGCCCCGAGGGCTCCCACATTGGTCGGAGGGGGTTTCGCAAGGGCGAGGGCAGACCCCCATCCCATCCCATCCCATCCCATCCCATCCCATCCCATCCCATCCAGCAGCATCCCTCCTCCTCCCCCGGGTCCCGGCCAGATGCTCCGCACTCCCCGACGCCGCCACTGTCTCCAGCCGGGCGCGCCCGACGGAGGGGACGGGCAGGAGGGACGGGGGGGACGCTCCCCCCTGTGCAAGCCCCCATCCGTGGTGGGTGGGAGCCGCTGTGGGTGCGCAGAGCCCCCCGCCCGCCCGCCCTCCCCCGATGGCAGAGTCGGTCCTTTGGTCTCCTCTGAGTCTCCCCCCCTCTCCCCGCCGCCTCCCCCGCGTCCTTCCTGGCGCCAGCGCAGCCTTGCAGGAAAGGAGAGGGGCAGGAAAGGAAAGGAGAGGGGCAGGAAAGGAAAGGAGAGGGGCTGCTCCGCATCCATCCCCCCGCGCCGGGCGCTGTGCGGGGACACGGCGATGGAGCGGGGGGGACACACGGCGGGACTCTCGCTGTCCTCCCCCTGCTCCCCTGACCCCAGCCGGGGCCGTGGGGGGGAGCTGCGGCCCCTTTGATGCGGGGACATCAAAGACGTCTCCCCCCCCCCCCCCGCTTTCCCAATTTCCCCCCCCATTCCCATTTTTCCCTCCCCATTCCCTCCAACCCCCCCCCCCTCCCCATTCCCCCCCACCGGGGCAGAGCGGGCCCAGGGCGCCCCCTGGCGGCCCCGCCTGGCCATCGCGCCCCCACTCCCCGCTCCGGTAATTAACTCAAATTAATTAACTCCCGTTAATTAACCCGGCTTTTCCCGTCTCCCGGTTATTTCTTTTCTCTGCTTGGTTTAAATGAGAATACAAAGAGCCGGAGCAGCGCCACTCAAATCCCCGGGGTGGGGGATCCCGGACGCGGCAATTCCTGCAGTGAACGCCCCCCCTCTCCCGGTATCGCTGTCCCGGTATCCACTATCAGCTGTTCCAGCCTCGGATGGCTCAAGCCGGGCTAATAATTGCCTGGGAAGGTTTCGGGAGCACGGCGGGCAGGTGCCGTCAGCAGCGGCTGAGTCACGGCCGGGCGACATCCCCGGCACAGCCCGGCCACCGCTCCTGCCTTCCCTATTTTTAGCCTGGAATAACGAGAGCCACGCCTCGCCCCGAAATCTCGGTGCTCCCCTGGCGGTTTCAGGTGAGGGCCACGTCACCCTGAGGTTTTTATTGCATTATTAACTTCGAGCTGTGATTGCTGCATCCCGCAGAACGATTGGTGACGATTGCCTGCTCCTCCTTGGGCTGTTGCCACATTTATTCCTCTCCTGAGAGGATGTTTTGTTGCTCCTTTCTCCCAGCTTTGGCTCACCTCTGTGTCATCATCAAATCACAGAATGATTTGGAGTTGGAAGGGACATCAAAGCCCATCCAGTGCCACCCACTGCCATGGGCAGGGACACCTTCCCCTATCCCAGGGTGTTCCAAGCCCTGTCCAACCCAGTCTTGGACACTTCCAGGGATCCAGCCACAGCTGCTCTGTGTGGGAATTGTGGGAGCAGAACCCTTGTAACCCCACATTTCACCACCATCCAGAAGATTTCTCCCAAAATCAGCTCCTGCTCTGGAAGAAACCCACTGACAGCCGTTCAAAAGTAATTATTTTTATTTCAACTCTATAAAGTATACAACAGGCACTCGGCAATTACAGCTGCAGGGGGAGTACAGAGCGAAACAAAAGCCATGGAAGTTTATGAAAAAAAAAAAGAGAAAAACAACAAAAAACAAACCCAAAAGTTCCTCAGTCAACATCCAAAGAGTGCAAGCAGCCGATGGCCGACATCGGCCTGACAAACAAAACCTCTGCCATAGAAGGAGAGAAAATCAGAATATAAAACAAAGGGCTGGGGTAAAACAAGCATAAATCGGGACTTGGGGGGGAGAGGCAACTCCAAATGGGAATTTCCCCTTTTTCTGAGAAAGCCCTAAGAGCGCCCAAGTCTCGGTGTCAGGGCTGGGGAGCTGTGGAGGAGCTTCCAGGGCTCATCCCCGTGGATGCAGGGAAAAGCACAGATCCTGTTTGGTTGAGTGGTGCAAAGGAGCCTCCTCTTTGCACCGGGGTTTCAGGTCAGGAAAATGCTGCCAGGGTGGATTTTTCCCATGTGGGAGATTCCCCAGGGAGGGCTGTGTGGGGCAGCACGGATGGGTGGGATCTGCAGAGCTTAGCAAAACAGGAATACCTGTCTACGGACTGCTAGGATGTCAGAGATTAATTTGACCCGCACATCACATTTATACATTTCACAGAAATGACTCTGTATCTCATTAACAGATACACAGCTCTGGTACATTGAACAGAAATCAGAGAACGACGTCATCATTTCTGGAATTCATCGAGATCAGATAATAAAGGCTTAGAAATCGGTAGCAGAAAGAACTGTAAAACGCAGCAAGCTAAGAAAGGACGACGGTTTGAGGTGTGTTTGTCTTTGTCATGCAGCATAACACCAAATTTGTCTCTTTTTTTTCTTTTTCTCAATAAGATGCCATGGATTTAAGGCACTTGCAACAATGCCAGATAGCCAGTGACGTTCTAGAACTATGGGACGGGTGGGTGAACAGGACAGCTGACAGAAAGTTTAATCATACTGACAAATATGACATTGATTCAAGTCTACCTCGACCTAAAAACATTACATTACAAATAAGGAAATGAAGGAATAATGCCATGGAACTGGAAAAGAACAGAAAGTCCTGTGTGACCCACAAAACATCGACACGAAAATACCTATTTACAGAAATATCTGCTCGTGGTCCTGTTGTTGGAGAAGAAGAGTTTGCTGTGGGCAGTGCAGCTCCAGGAGAAGCCACAACACCACTCAAAGCCCCCTCTGGAAACATGGGAGCCGATTCCCCCTTCCCTAAAAACGCTGTCGTCCCATAGATCAGGAAAGGAGACAAACAAATAAGGACAGGAGGTGGAAACACAGAGGCAATCCCTTGTTGTGGATATATAGAGATATATATAAAGCAACTTAAATACATTATCATAACTGAAGGCTTATCATATACATATGCAAAGTGTTAATGCTCAGGAGAGGGAGGCCATGGAAGTCGAGTGAGGTGTTTGATATCAAAATAAACTCAGATTCAGCACAGTGCACGCTGCAGGTGTCAATTCCCATGCCTGGCACAAGGAAAAAAAGGGACAGGAAAAAGAAACCTCAACTGCTCAGCCCGTTCCAGACCCTCCCTCCTGTCACTTTTTCAGGCTGATCCCCAAATCCTTGCGGTGCTTTGTCCTCCTTGCCTGCCAATTGCATCAGGTGCCACCATCCTGGGACAAGCTCCTACAGGAAGCTGTCCCCATGGAGTGAAAGTCCAGGGGGATGTGAGGAGGGAAGCCTTTGGCTGTTAGGCCTGTTTAAGATGCCTGGTGAATGTTTTAGCCCTCGTGCTCAGCCTTGGCTCTCAGTGCTGTCCATCCCTTGGGGAAAGGTGGAAAAGCCAGCAGGTGCTGCCTTTTCCCCTGTGATTTTGAAGGCAAACAAAGTTTTAATGGTTAAAAACAGCAGAAGTGACTGTGCCAGAGGTGTGGCCCCACCCTTTGGGAAACACAGGGAATTCCAGAGCCACAGACTGGTTTCAAAGGTGTCACACAGCCCAGCTCATGCTGAACAGCAGACACAGCCCACACTGTCAAAATACCCTTCTGATTACATCCTTTAATGAAAAACATGCAAAAGAGTTGGGACTCAGCATCAGGGAAGGAATTTTTCACTGCTCAAACAGATCTTTTCCATGTAAAATGTGGGGAAAGTCCTTGTCAGCAAGATCTTTCCACGGTCAGCTCTTGGCAGCTGAGATTGAAAGGAGGCAGCACCTGCCCACCCATGGCAGGGGCTGGAATGAGAGGACCTTTAAGGTCCCTTCCAACTCAAACCATTCCATCATTCCGTGATCCTGTGATTTTTTTTGGGGGGGGCAGGTCTCTCAGAGAGACCCAAAGCTGATGTTTCCTGCTGGATAATGGGATAAACTTCCAGTCCTGTGTGTATGAAACAAATGGGCACTCAGGACAGGATGCCTCTGCTGCATCCTATAAACCAGAGGAGGCAATTCAAGCAAAGGAAAAGCAGTAGAAGTGAGGGAAAAGCATGTCCTGATGATATTGTTTTCCCTAGTTCTTTTTTCCATATGGATTTGGCCATCCCTGTGTTAAACACAGTCACATGGACCTGGCATGCTGGAGAGCTCAAAGGGATCTTCCAACATTCACTTCCCATGGAATTCCACTGACTTTCCTGTGGAGCTCCTTAGCCTGGAGAGGCACCAGGATTACTGGCAGTGTTCCACCAGAGCCAGGATTTCTATTTTAAGGGGATTCTTTAAACATGGAAGAGATGCAGACATGGAATCACCAAAAGGGAGAACGGAGCCTCTGCTACATATTCCTGACAGGAAGGGTCAGGGACAGGCTTCTTCCCAGGTGAGGGATGGATGTAGCACCTCGAGAGGACATCACAGGTCTCATGTTTTTCCCTTTGAGCCCAAAAAAGGCTCCAATTTATCCTTAATTTATCCAATTTATCCTTAATTTTATACCTAATCAGACCGGTGGGCTGCTGCTGCTTTGTTGAGGGCTGTGACTGGAGTGCTGTGAAATGGATCAATGGATGTGAAATGGATCAATGGATGTACAATGGATCAATAGATGTAGAACAGATCAGTGGATGTACAGTGGATCAACAGATGCAGAACAGATCAGTGGATGCACAATGGATTCATTCCATGATTTTCTCTTTCCGTGCACGTGTTGGTACCAAGGGAAAGGAGAACTGAAGCCCAAAGGTGGTGCTGCCACGTGAGGGAAGCGACCCAACCTCTGCCTCGACAGCATCTGCAGCAGTTGTGCTTTTGTTTGACCAGGCTGAGCTAAAATGTTTCCAAAACAAAGAGGGAAGGGAACATTCAGTCTCATCAGGAATACTGCTAGGGAAGGAAAAGGACACATTCCCCGCTGCTGTGACGGGAGCGCTTTGCCCGTGCTCCTCCTGGGCTCCAGCGCTGCCCTGCAGAGCTCGGAGGGTGGGAATAGCCCAAATCCTGCACTGGAGTAGCTGCAGCACTTCATAAGTTACTACTGATCCTAGGGAAAAAAGCAGCTGGAATTTAAGTGCCTCTTACTCTACGGATCTGTCACTCTGCAAATCAAGAGTGGGCCAGGATCTCTGTGGCCACAGAAGAGGAGTTCTGTGCCGGAGCAAGGCTCTGTGCCAGGACCACCGTGCCCAAGCCAGGTCACGTTCCAACAGAAAACATGGAGAGCACTATTGTCACTAAGCAAGAAGTCCTAATGCCACTGGAGTTACTGGAGCAGCATCAATCAAGGCATCGTGGTGACCCCGAGCACGAATCCTCCCCCGTTCCGGTCTTCCCGTTCCGCTGGCAGCCACGTCCCAGGAAAAGCTGTCCTCAGCAAGGCAGAAGCAGGTAAGAGAAAGAACATTAAAAATCTATGTCCCATCCTGAGTTGTCGTCAGGGGGTGGCTCGTCACTGTCCTCTGGGAAGCTGTCAAAGTTGCTCGTGTCCGTGGGAGACGCGACCTGCAGGGGGAAGAGCAAGGAGAAGGGGATGTTCATCCCAGGGCTGGCATTCCCTCTGCATCCCACAGCCATGGCATCCCAGAGAATCCCCAGCAAGGCAGGGAAGTGCTGCCTTCCCAGAGATTTCCTCCAGCTGCCCTGCTCTCCTGAGTTTTCCTGCCCGTTGCCACAAGGCTATCACAACAGGCTTGGGAAAAGAGCCCAGGACTTCCCATCCATGGATCCAGGATGCTGAGCCCTGCTGCCTTGAAGTTTCCTGACACTGGATCCTTCCAGAGAAACCCATCTTCCCAGGATGAAGGCCAAGCCCATTTCTTTTTCGCAAATTGCAACATTTGAAATGTAACCTGGCTATAGAATTTATGGTTTTCCTGCTTTGTGACAGCAAAGGAAACTTTCTTACAGTGAGGACTTGATAAAGTCAAGACAATAAAAAAAAAAAAATAAGCAATTTAAGAGGAAACCAGCAACTCTCCAGCCCAAAAGAATGAGAGTCTTACTAGAAATTTAATACTTTAAGCTTTACCCAGAGCAGGAAAACACTTGCTGCTGTTTTCACTCATTTCATTTGGGAAGAGCCTGAGCCAGGGGAATACTGCCAGTCATTAAATCCCAGAATTCTGCAATGGTTTGGGTAGGAAGGAACCCTAAAATCCCATACAGTCCCACCCTGCCACACCTTCCGCTGTCCCAGGTTTCTCCAAGCCCCAAAGTCCAACCTTGGGCATTTCCAGGGATCCAGGGGCAGCCACAGCTGCTCTGGGCACCCTGTGCCAGGGCCTGCCCACCCTCACAGGAATATTTTTTTCCCAGTATCCAGCCTGGCTTGATCTCAGGGGTTGCCCCAATCCACTTGGCCTTGTTAACCCTCCTGAGATTCCCATTTGATTTTGGATGCTGCTGCACGCCTTGGGAAAAGACAGGAGTTCCAGCTCCAGCCCTACATTTAATGTGCTGCCCAACTGCATCAGCATTTTCCTGCTGCTGAACACTTTTTGGGGCAAATCAGGAGTATGGAACTCATTTTGGAAAAAAACCCCACCCTACAAAATCTTAATTTCTTTCGGATTATCTGGATCTGTTGACTTTGTTGGGGCTCCTTCACCCTTTGCTTGCTCAGCTCATCTTTGGCAGAGTCCTGAGCTTTCAAGGAGAGGTAAAATCATAGATTCCAGCTGTGGTATCAAGGCTCAGCAGTGTCCTAGCAGCAGGTTGTAAATTGGGATCTTTCCAGAAATCCCATGGAACAAGAGCTCTTTGATTGCCTCACTGGCAGAGCCACGTAAGAAATGAGATTTAAAGAGCTGGGAAAAGCCTTTTTCAAAAAAGGAAAAAGGAACTGATCTGTATGTTTGGTCCTGCTGGCTCTTTCCCAGCTAACAAGGAGAGGTGGGTTGAAAGAAAAGTGGATGTCTGCCACCAGAGCTGTATTTTGGGTCCCTTTTCAGAGTGGCAGTTGGGACTTTGCCAAAAGAACCTGCGGAAAACGAGCTGGAGTAGGACTGACAGCTCTGGAGTTGACAAAATTCAGAGTTCATGGGTTTGGAGAGGGTCTCAGGAGTAGGTCTGGAGGAGCTGCTGCTCCCAAGAGCTCAGGGAGAGGATGAGCTGGGTTGAAGCAGGATTAGGGCCAGCCTGGAGCTGTCCTGGAAGAGGGAAGGATGTTCCCATCTATTCCAGTCAGCCTTGCTGTGTGGGGTAAGAGCAGCATTGGAAATGCTCCTCCTAAATTAAAAACCCACCAAAACCAGTAAGGAAGACATCCTGGGGTTTTTTTTCAGGCTACATGGACATCCTGCATTCCTAAAGCAGGAATTGCAACTGGATGTGAAGGAGCAAACTGGACTTTATTGCCTGACTTGCAATGTGATCCTGCTGATGAATGAATTGGCATTAAAAACACACCAAGGCCAGGCTTGGAGCAACCTGGGACAGTGGAAGATGCCATTGAAGGTGATGGAACTGGATGATCTCTAAGGTCCCTTCCAACCCAAACCAGGCTCATAGCTTGAGCTTAAAAGAAAAAAACCCAACCAACCCAACTTTGATCTCTAAAACATTTCTGAGTTGTTACGGGAGAGATTTGCCAAGTCCTGCTTTCCCCACTGGCTCCAGCAGCTCCTGCATCCCACAGGGTTAAAAGGGGGGGATGGAAACCCTCCTGCTCTTTCCCTAAGCAAACTTTGGGATGGCAGACTCAGCCCCTGGAGCTGGGCCTGCCCCTGCTGCAGGAGCTGCAGGATGGAGCAATGGGGTGCAATTAAACCTCCATTAATGGCATTCTCCCGGTGATCCCGAGGGATTAAGCTGGAACAAGGAGGGGAGGCTGCAGGACAGAAGGGGCCGAGGTAATTTCTGTCAGCTAATCCTGTTTGGTTTCCCTTTGCAGCGGGGCTTTGAGGGCTGGGAGCTCACAAAGACATCAAAGGAAGGGCTTTGGTGCAAAGGAAAACGAGCGGAGCTGTCCCTCCGCGCCCGCTCCCGGTTAAACATCAACAGCTTTTCATGTAGGACATGGATGCAGGGCACAGAGGGCCACGGGCACAAAAGGCAGCACAGAAGGGAAGGTTAATGTGAAAGGAAAGGAAGATGGCATCCAAATCCCACTTGCCTTTGCAAAGGAAATGAGAATAAAGGAGAAGGGGAGAGGATGCAGCTGAGAGAAGGGGTGGAAGGGGCAGCTCTCCATGGAAAGGGAGAAAGGAGATGCAGAAACAAGTGGAGCAGGTGAGAGAAAGGAAAATGTGCTGGAGTGGGTGATCCTGCCTCAATCTCCTGCTGCAAAGGGGATTTCTCCATGGCTGTGCCCTCCTCACACTGCCTTCCCAGGGAAGAGCCTGCCTGGAGAGCAAGCTCAGCTGGGAACGTGCCTAAAGTTATTTTTCAAGCATTACAGAAGAAATAAAGCACATTATTCCCACTTAACCCAGTGTACCACTGCCCAAAGCTCACAGCATCACAGGAATTGCCCATGGAGGAAAAAACAATGATAGGAAAACTTACACTTGGGATTATGGGAGGTGTCAGTGTCCCTTTCCGTAACCCTTCCCAGTTAAAGCCTTCAAACCATCTGAAAGGGAAGGAAAAATCCAACAGTTAGACAGGTGTAGCACAAAAAGAACAAAAAATTGCTTGAACAACAGGTTTCATCCCCCACAGACTTTGCCTTCAAATCCCTTTGGAATTTTTCCTGTCATCTTTTTTGGGGACCAAGAAGGAAGAGTGTGCAGTGACACCACCCAATGGAAATTGCCAACGCTCAGATGGGAACCATTCCTTGCTGCAGGTGTCCTGGAAGCTGCTCCTTCCCTTCCAGAGTGTGGATCCATCCCACAGGAGACCTTTTATCCCTGCGGAATTGGGTTAACTTCCAACTTCATGCTCAAGGATGTCCCACTTGTGGTTTTCCTTGCGTTTGCTCGAGGTGGATGGATGAACCCTGAGACTTCCTACAAAAATATCCATCCAATCCATTCCTGCTGTTTGGAGATGGGACAAGAGATGATCCAGTACAGATGGATGGGACAAATTCCTCCTGGAATGGTTCTTATCCCAATAAACTCCTAAGACTTCATGTAACCCCTCCCATGGGACCAAAAGGGAGGATGAATTTACATGATGGATAGGAAGTGGCTTTTAGGGGAAAATTGAGATGCTTGAAATGCCCCTTTCTGGGGTTGGAGCTGATGGCTGCTGGAGAAGACACTTACTTGTGCTTTTGGATATCTTTCACTCCATTTTTCAAGTTCCCTAATCTTTCTGATGGATTGTCCCTGTAAAAGAAAGAACAAATCCTAAATCCCTCTGCCCAGCTCATTAATTTGCATACAACATCATGGCTTTTTGTTTTATTCTTACATCCACTTACCTGCATAGTTTTTTAATTAAGTTAGCAGCATTTTTGGCAATCTTCTTTGGAAATTCAATCATGTCTATTCCCCTTAATATGATGTTATAGGTCTTCATGGGGTCTGGGCCTGAGAAAGGGGGACTTCAGGGGGCACAGGGAAGGGAAAAAAAAAGATTAAAAACTTGTCTTTCATAAAAGATTGACTTTAAACGTTAAAGTTTGATAAAATACACCCAGATGAGAAAAGGTAGATGTCAACCAGGAATGCTTTGCTTCCCACGATCCTAACCACTTCTCAAGGAGCTCTGGAATTCTGGGAAGCACCAAAAAGAAGTTTTCCATGCTAAAGCTCTTCTTCCCATCACAGCCCAAGGCAGGAGGCTCTAAGCAGCATTCCCTGGCCTATCTTTGTGTGATTCCTGATTCCAGTGGGGATTAATTGGCTTTCCATGGATGGGGGCTGTGTGTGAAGGATGGGCAGGTGGAAGGGATGGATCTCCTGGGGGTGACCTGAGGGAGCTCCAGGAAGCCAAGAGCAGCAGTGATATCCCAAATTAAATATGGGAAGGGATGGATGGTGCCTGATCTGCCTCCTCCTTTCCAGCAGTGAGGAACCTCCCCAGCTGAGTGCAAACCCTTCCCCTTTTCCCACCATTTCCAGACCCTTCAGGGCCAAACCCTTCCCCTTTCTCCATCATTTCCAGACCCTTCAGGGCCAAACCCTTCTCCTTTTCCCACCATTTCCAGACCATTCAAGGCCAAAACCTTCCCCTTTTCCCATCATTCAGGGCCAAACCCTTCCCCATTTCCCATCATTTCCAAACCCTTCAGGGCTAAACCTTTCCTCTTTTCCTATAATTTCCAGACCCTTCAGGGCCAAACTCTTCCTCTTTTCCCATCATTTCCAAACCCTTCAGGGCCAAACTCTTCCTCTTTTTCCACCACTTCCAGACCATTCAGGGCCAAACTCTTCCCCTTTTCCCTCTATTTCCAGACCCTTTAGGATCAAACCTCCAGAGCTTAGTGCAAACCTTTCCCCTTTTCCCATCATTTCCAGACCCTTCAGGGCCAAACCCTTCCCCTCTTCACACCATTCAGGGCCAAAACTTTCCCCTTTTCCCATCATTTCCAGACCCTTCAGGACCAAACCCTTCCCCTTTTCCCATAATTTCCAGACCCTTTAGGATCAAACCTCCAGAGCTGAGCACAAATCCTTCCCCTTTTCCATAATTTCCAGACCCTTCAGGGCCAAACCTTTCCCCTTTTCCCACCATTTCCAGATCCTTCAGGGCCAAACTCTTCACCTCTTCCCATTGTGTTCAGTCTACTCAGAGCCAAAACCTCTCCCCTTTCTGATATTTCAGGGCCAAACCCTTCCCCTTTTCCCACCATTTCCAGACCCTTCAGAGCCAAACCCTTCCCCTTTTCCCATCATTCAGGGCCAAACCCTTCCCCTTTTCCCACCATTTCCAGACCCTTCAGGGCCAAACCCTTCCTCTTTTCCCATTGTGTTCATCCCACTCAGAGCCAAAAAAAGGTGATTTGAGTGGAAAAGCCACCGTGGAGCTCCCTGTCCCAGCCCTGCCCCTGCCCTGGCCTCATCGGGGTGAGAAGGGCAGAACTCTTGGGATGAATTTCGATGCCCATACCTGCCAGTCAGGAGCTCATACATCAGGATTCCCAGGGACCAGTAGTCTGCTGAAATGTCATGACCTTTGTTCAGGATGATCTCGGGGGCTACGTACTCCGGGGTGCCACAAAAAGTCCATGTTTTCTTTCCAAATCCTATTTTCTTTGCAAAGCCAAAATCGACCTGGGGGAAGGGGCAGGAGAGAGTCAGGGCAGGGCATCAGAGGGAATGTCAGCCCTGGGCCCTGCTCCTCTTGAAGTGAAGCAAGGCAGAAAGGAGGATTCCTCATGGGAATTTTCTCCCAATTAAAGCACCGAGGGTCGTTCCAGGACCAGGGAACCACAGTGACCTTTTTGCTGATTTATCCTTGGGAAAATTCCCATCAGAGAAGCAAACACCAGCACCAAGGGTTTCTTGGGGGTTGGAATTGCTGTCACTCACAGCTCAGATTGATTTATTTTGATTTTTATTCTTTTAAATTTAAATTAACATGGGAAAGGAATGGTTTTAAGCTGTGAAAGGGCAGGGCTGGATGGGATATTGGGAATTAGGAATTGTTCCCTGGCAGGGTGGGCAGGCCCTGGCACAGGGTGCCCAGAGCAGCTGTGGCTGCCCCTGGATCCCTGGCAGTGCCCAAGGCCAGGCTGGAGCAGCCTGGGACAGTGGAAGGTGTCCCTGCCATGGCAGGGGTGGAATTTTGGATCTTTAAGGTCCATTCCAACCCAAACCATCCTGCGATTCTGAGATTTTAGGAGAAGATGGAAAGAAAAACCATGGCGTAAAAGTGAAGTCTACAAGACACACTGTAGGCTGAATTTTGCAGGATGAATCCTTCAAAATTAATTCCAAGTGGGCAGCAGGGTGGAAACTGTCCATGACACGACCTTTTTTGGTTTTTTTTGGAATGGGATGGGTTTTAGGGTCCCTTCCCACCCAAACCATTCCAAGGTGTGTCCTCTGGGGCTGGTCAGGAACCCACAGGGTCACACAGCTCTGGGACACTCAGGGACATGCCTGAGGAGCTGGGAGCTGCTGAGGGACCAGCACAGACCCAGCCCTAGATGCTCCTGGGGTGGGAGAAGGACAGTGCTGCACCTCATCCTCCTCTACCTCAGAGGAGCCCCAGGCTCAGGGAAATGCCCCAGAGGGTACATCCCAATGTCACTCAGGAGGTGACACATGGAGGCTGCCACCAGGCTGTGGTGATGGGCTGAGTTACTGTCCCCAAAGAGCCCCCAAACCAAGATACAGAGCCCTTGGTCCCCCATGACCCCCAGGGGCCATCAGCCCCTCCTGGACCAGCTCCTTTTAGAGCTCCTGTCCTTCACTGGGGGCTTCCCAAGGGCCCACATCCTGCAGCACCTCCCACCAAGGCAACTATTTCATGTCTCCTGTCCTTCTCCATGCTCTCACCAGGCCATTTGGGGTACCCCTAAAAAGCAGGGTGCCTTTCCTGAGTTCTGGGATTATTTTTTGCCCAGGACAGCCAGGTGGCTTTCTCCTGATGCTCTTGTCTCATCATTCCAGGAGCATGGACCTGAATCCCAAGACAGAACCACAGAATTCAGGGAATTCAGAGAATCACTGGGTTGGAAGAGACGTCCAAGATCATCAAGTCCAATCCAGCCCCAACACCTCAACTAAACCCTGGCACCCAGTGCCACATCCAGGCTGTTTTTAAACACATCCAGGGATGGTGACTCCTCCACCTCCCTGGGCAGCCATTCCAGAACTTTATCACCCTTTCTGTAAAAAACTTTTTCCTAATATCCAACCTATATTTCCCTTGGTGCAGCTTGAGACTGCGTCCTCACATTCAGCATTTCTCAGCTCAGCCATGCCCTCAGCCCTGCTGGAAGTCAGGAAAACATCCCAGATGATGATGATGGTGACACCACCTTGCCCTGATCTCCTCCCAGCATCCCCTGATGGACCCTGTGGGGGGATTTTGCTCCTCACCCTTTCTGGTCAAAGCTGGGTGGATTTTCTGGGCACTCACCAGCTTGGCATAACCTCGGTGATCCAGAATGAGGTTCTCTGGCTTGAGGTCCCTATAAATGATCCCTTTGGAATGCAAGTAGGCAAATGCTTCCACCACGCACGCCGTGTAGAACCTGGTGGTGGAATCCTCGAATGAACCCCTGTGGGATGGAAGGAGGGAGGGAAAAGGGGATTAAAGCCATTAGATGAATCCTTGGGAAGTGGTTTCCTTCCCTATGGAATTCATTCTGCTGTTAAAACTTTTATTGCTGCAGTAAAATCACTTTTTAACACCAGGAAAGCTCCTGGTGCTAAACACACTTTTATATCTCTACATATAAAATATATCTCACTTTTATATATCTCTTTATATATATATATATATTTGCTTTTATATATCTCTATATAAAATATATCTCACTTTTATATCTCTCTATATATATTCAATTATTCTATCTCTATATTTCTGTAATCTAGTTAAATTTCCACTTTTGAAGAAGCCTCTTTGCTATCTATATATATATATAATATATCTATCTGTATATACATATAATCTCTATATACAAAATATATGTCACTTTTATATCTCTCTATATATATATTCACTTTTATATCCCTATATATAAAATATATGTCACTTTTATATCTCTATATATATATTCAATTTTATATCTCTATATTCCTATAATCTAGTTAAATTTCCATTTTTGAACAAGCCTCTTTGCTATCTCTATATATAAAATATATATATCTATATATAAAATCTCTCTATATAAGATATATCTCACTTTTATATCTCTCTCTAAATATATATTCAATTTTATATCTCTATATTTCTATAATCTAGTTAAATTTCCATTTTTGAACAAGCCTCTTTGCTTCCAATATCTGAAACTATTTTAAGGTTTATACTATAATTTAGAAATAAAACTTTGAAATCCTTGTTCTGTAAGCAAAAGGGTATTTTTTGGTAATTACAACTTTGGGGTTCGAGTACTAAAACTCCTTTGAGGAGAGCAGATAAATTCTGTATTAATGTTAATAACTGAGACAAAAGACAGAAAAATCACAGCTGCTGGGCCCTGAGAGTTAATGCAAATCCCAAACTGCACCTTTGGATCCTTATTTCTGAAGTTTTCCAAAGAAAATCACATCCTATGCCTGCTGGGGGCTGGCTGAGACCAGAGGGTGTCTAAGCTAGATGGCAGCAGAACCTCAGTTTAAATCCCAGAGAATTAAAGATGGAATTATCAGGCTCTGACAAAAAAATCAGGAAAAATCCCACCCAGCACCTTCTAACTTTGCTCCAGTTCATCTTTCAGTGAGAAAATGCTGTTGGGAAAAGGAAGAACTAGAGGAAAAATAGTTCTGGGGAATTAAAAGACAATTTAATCTTCCTGATCAATCTTCCCAAATTTAATGGAATTCTGCTCCAGTGATGAGGCTATTCCAGAGTTACAATTCCCTGCATCTTTTCCTGCTCTGTGGGCCCATCCCACATGCACCCAGGAGCCCCAAACACTCCAAGGTGACCCCTCCAAGGCAGGGACTGTGGGGTTTTGGACATGCATGCTTTATTAACTCCTTTTTTCCATGTCATTGCTGCATTCTGATGGAGCAGTGCTCCTGGCAGGGTGTGGATTCTGATTCCCACTTGAATCAGCAGCCCTGGTGTAATATGGAATTTCTGGGCCAACAGACCCTGCAAAGCTCTCAGTTTCCTCCTGCTCATTGCTCTCAGTCCTGGCTGGGATTATCCATAAATCCCAGGAAATATTTATGGATATTATTTAGCAGTGTCCATGTGGCAGAGTTGAGAGTTGAGATTCACACTCACAGAGGAAAGGCTGCAAACACAGAAAAAGCTTTGAGGTGGGAAATTGTGATTTAAAAACTGTGACATCAAAAGGACCTGGAGCTGCTGGAGCAAATCCAGAGGAGGCCATGGAGCTGCTCCAGGCCTGGAGCCAGGCTGGGAGAACTGGGGAGGAGAAGGCTCCAGGGAGAGCTCAGAGCCCCTGCCAGGGCCTAAAGGGGCTCCAGGAGAGCTGGAGAGGGACTGGGGACAAGGGATGGAGGGACAGGACACAGGGAATGGCTTCCAGTGCCAGAGGGCAGGGCTGGATGGGATATTGGGAATTAGGAATTGTTCCCTGGCAGGGTGGGCAGGCCCTGGCACAGGGTGCCCAGAGCAGCTGGGGCTGCCCCTGGATCCCTGGCAGTGCCCAAGGCCAGGCTGGACTTTGGGGCTTGGAGCAACCTGGGACAGTGGAAGGTGTCCCTGCCCATGGCAGGGGTGGCACTGGATGGGATTTTAGGTCTCTTCCAAGCCTTCCAGCTGGAATTGTGACATTTAGAACATCTCACAGTGCAGGACAAGCCCCAGCTCACCTGTCCCTGAGAATTGTCCAGAGCTCCCCCCCCAGGCAGGCCTCCATCAGCATGTACAGGTACTTGCTGTCCTTGAACGTCCTGTAGAGCCTGAGGGTGGCAACCAGAAAATCACAAATAAATCCGTTATCTGAGCACTAAACTTGCTGGTTTGACAGAGTTTAGAGAAGCTGAAGTGCTGTTCCTCTTCCTCCCAGCAAGGAATGTGGAGGAAAAAATGCCTCAAGGGATGGGCTGGGCTTTGTGAACCCATCCTCGAGTTCTGAACTGTGCTCCAAAATCCATGCTCTGTGCTCAACAGGATTTTCTAACGATATTACACATTAATTGGATTTATAGATGTGTTTAATAATATTAAATAACTATGGTGAAAAAAACCAAATTCCTTTTTTTCCTTTATTTTAATGTTCAACTGCTTTTGTACTTCCTATTCCACATGTGGCTTTATCCACCCAGGCTTCCAGCAGGGTGTGGATACAGGGAAGGTTTCCTTGCAGATAGCTTGCACAGTAATTGTAATTTTTGAAAATTTTTTTGGGGTCATTAATTAAGTAATTAATTTTTGTAATTAATTTGTAATTTTTGGATAATAATTTTAACAATTTCTGCAGCAGAAAGGAATGCCGAGGGCAACTCCTGGTGCCATTCCTGCATTCCTGGCAGCTTCCAAGAGTTAAAAATTCATGAGCTAAAAATTCCAGGAGTTAAAAATTCCAGGAGTTACAAATTCAACAACTGCCACCACAAAAAGGAAATGAAGTCAGGTGGGTTTTGCAGATTCCAGCACTTCCCTGCTAATCCCAGCTATTATTCTGACAGAGCTGTGGGATGGATCAGCAGGAAAACACTGCAGGATTTGGTTCCTTTGGAAGACATCCATTTCTATTTATATAACACCAATGGTCATTTATAACTAACCATTAAATAATGCTAAAATTGATGGTTTCAGCAAAAATCCCCCCACTTATTTCTTGTCACTTAGACAAAGTATCATTTATCTTAATACACATTTAATCACTATTAAAGTTTGCAGAAAACTTCAAGAAACCAAAATGTAATTTCATGTTTTTAATTGCTTGGTAATTTGAATTACCAAGTACTGAAATACTTTCCCTAATCAAGGCAGCCCTGCTGAAAATTTTATGGGCATTAAATCTGGCCTAAAATGCGCAGATTAAAAAAAATCAAATATTATTTATCAGTTATCATGGAAGCATAAAGTTTAGACACATGAAAGGACATTATTTCCTAAGTTCAAATGACACAATATTTGAATAACTTCTTTATTTGTTTCCTTATTCCTTGAAATATTTGCACTTGTTTGGCCCCTGATCCAAGCCAGAGCATTTTGTTCTGTTTGAGTTTTAGTTTATGTAAAAGTCAATTTTATTTAGTGCCACTTGGCCTCTCCTGCTTCTTTTGCCTGGTTTAATTCATTTTAATAACCAAACCAAATTATTCTTCAAAGACTTTTTAACAAACACAATGAATTAAGAAAACAACCAAGTTCTTCAGGAATTTTGTCTTTCCCATTGTGTCCTTGCTCTGAGATTATTTTAAACCCACCTTTCATCTATCAGCTCAAAATTGAATCAATCTACTGAAATATTCAAATTTCTGCCCATTACATCCCCCCACCCCAAAAAATTATCCCAGCTGGTCCAAGAAATGGAATAAACAAGTTCTTAACTAAACAATAAATAAGTTGAATAATTTTAGGATAGATACTATAGGAAAACTTCAAATCCCTGTGGATGGGCAAGAGTTTGATAAATCAAATATTGTCTAGCAATAGCAAAAGGTTGGACTTTGTGACTTGGAAACCTTCCCAGAGCAGGGTTTCCATGGGATATTAAATTTAATTTCATGGGATACTGAATATAATTCAGGGATGGTTGTTGCTGCAAAAGGTGGGAAACACTGCAGGATATGGAAGGAGAAGATGCACAGGTAAAATATCCTTGTTGTGCTTCCCTGCTGAAGGATGGAGAGTGGGAATTTCATTGATCAGCCATGCATGTCACTGGCTCCATTAAGAAATGTTTGGAGGCTCAGGCTCTATTTAGGAGTGGGTATTTCTGGGAATGGTGGCTTGGCTGGCCCTGCACTTCCCCTCTCATCCCAAAACAGCTCAGCCCTCCAAAAATCCAGAGGCTGGAATGGCCCACAGGGAATATTTGGCTCTGGGCTGGGTTACAGGGAATGTTTCAGGATCCAGGACCACATCCTGAAGGGAATGGCAGCCGGGCAGTGTTGGGCTCCAGTTGTCACCAATGAATCACAGGAGAAGCCATGGGGAATCCCAGGGATGAGCCTGGGAAGGAAACACCCCCTGAGTGCCCCAGCCTGGCCATGTGCTTCCCTTTGGATTCATCCCAGGGGTTTGGTTTCACCCTGGGTTTATTTGCATCTCCTGAGCAATTTCTGGGAGCAGGGCTGATCTCCTAAGGCAGAGGAGTTTTCCAGTTATCTCTGAGCATGGGATGAGGCAGCCTTGGCTTGGATGCCCTTCAAGGTGGCCCCAGGGATCCTCAGCACCCACTGCTCGATCCTGACCTACAGCATTGAAAGAACTCCCTCTCTTGTCCTCAAAAAAAAAAAAAAAAAAGTCCTTGAAAAGCCAGGGAACTCAGAGAATCACTGGGTTGGAAGAGACCTCCAAGATCATCAAGTCCAATCCAGCCCCAACACCTCAACTAAACCCTGGCACCCAGTGCCACATCCAGTCTGGTTTTAAACACATCCTGGGATGGTGATTCCACCACCTCCCTGGGCAGGGCATTCCAGAACTTTATCACCCTTTCTGTAAAAAACCTTTTCCAAATATCCAACCTATATTTCTCTTGGTGCAGCTTGAGGCTGAATGTTATTATTAGGGTGGAAACAACCAAAAATGCCCCCTTTATTCCCTGGAGATGTGATTAGGTTTGGGGCAAGGAGATGGTTTTAATGTGTTTGCCCATGAGGAGTCCAGGGATGCTGAACTTGAGTTGTCAAATATTCCCTAAAGAGAAATGCTGGACACAGCTGCTCATTTCATGGCACTGTGTCATTTCAAAGGATCAAGCCCTGCCTTCCAGCTTCCCTTAGTGGGAAGGGAAACTCAGAAATTGGGAAGGAAAAGGAAAAGTAACCTTGAGCAGGGGCAAAGCTAAGTCATGATAAATACATATATATATGTATATGTATGTATAAATTCTTGATGGTGAGTGCAGTGCCTTGTCACTGTCATATTTTCTGAAAAATCCCTTTGCCAGGATTTCTTGTCCTGGGAAGCTGAGAAGCCTCAGAGAAAAAGGAAACCAAATTCTTATCTCATTTGCTTCTCCTGCGTTGTGCTCACATGTGTAATATGTTTGGAGATTGTTTACCCACTGATGGTTGTTTCATTGGTTTCATGTGAATTATTTTGACTTATTGGCCAATCAGTGCCAAGCTGTGTTGGGACTCTGCAAAGAGTAATGAGTTATCATTATTAGCTTTTGAGCATTTAGTAAGTATCCTTTCTCTATTCTTTAGTATAGTATAGTGTCACAGACATCTTTTATGAAAAATCCTTTCTTAGGATTTTTCCTCCTTAGAAGCTGACAGGCCTCAGGAACAAAATGTAAACAATGATTATCTGCTGCTGTGGAATGCAACAGGTGGATCTGTGGTTGGTCTCATGTGGTTGTTTCTAATTAATGGCCAATCACAGTCAGCTGGCTTGGACACAGAGTCTGAGCCACAAACCTTTGTTGTTTTACTGTCTTATTGTATTCTTAGCTAGCCCTCTGATGAAATCCTTTCTTCTATTCCTTTAGTATAGTTTTAATATAATATATATCATAAAATAATAAATCAAGCCTTCTGAAACATGGAGTCAGATCCTCATCTCTTCCCTCATCCTAAGACCCCTGCGAACACGGTCACAGTTTAGTATAGTGTTCCTTAATATAATGTAGTATCTTAAGATAATAAATCAGCCTTCTGAGAACATGGAGTCAGATTGATCATTCCTGCCTCATGTGGGGAACCCCACAGAACCAGCAGGGCAGGTACCTGACGATGAAGTCGGAGTGGGCGCTCTGCATGATCTGCTTCTCGGAGCGGATGTGCTCCTGCTGCCGCGTGTCCACGATGTGCCGCTTCTTCAGGATCTTCATGGCAAACGTCTTGGCCTCCTCGCTCTTCAGCTGCACCTGGGAGGACAGGACAGGGTCACACACAGCCCACAGCCCCGCTGGAGTCACACCTCCCTGCCAGCAATCCCACCTGCCTGCCTGCCAGCAGTTCCTTCCACCTCTCCAGTCATGATCCAGGTTTGTAACTGCGTGGCTTACTGCTAAAAAATACATTTCTAAACACCACGATTTTTAGGGAAAAGCTAAATGTGGGTGTTGCTCTGGGGTCTGTGGAAACCCAGAGCACTGGGAATATTTCTCCGACCCTGACCCCCAGGGGAGCACTGACTCTGACCCTCATTCATGGAGAAAGTTTCCTAAACTCCAAAATAGACCAGAACCCACAAAAGTGTGCAATAGATTGTAGAGAACAGTGTAGGTGTATCACTTGGTGAGAAATTTAGGTTTGGGGATTTTTAGTGTGTTGTGGATGGAAGCAAGATGGAGGGCACAGGGTGTCACCCTGGGTTTCTCCTTCATGCTGCTTCTTCTTCCTCCTCCATGGGTTTGGGTGGCATTTTGTAATTGGGTGGAAAAGTCCCCATTGCAGCTCTGTGGCATCAGTTATTGGGTTAAAAGGGAAAATAATCCAGGTATCAGTTGTTAATTGGATAGTTTAGTCTTAAAAGGCCTTGTCACAAGAGATTGTTGGCTATTTTGTGCCTTGCTGCCACATTCATGGCTGTGAGACTGTTCCACTGAAAAGAAATAATAAACACCTGAGTCTGAACATGAGCTACTGTCTCAAGTGCCTTCAATCCAGACCCAGAGAAACCAACAACTGGAACCCCAGCAACTGGTACCACCACAGGCTCAGGAGATGTTGCCAGTTAACATTTGGCTTCCTCAACCCCCTTTTCCTCCAGATCACCCCACCTGTGCTGGCTCTGGTTGGGAATTGCAGGGCTGGGATGGCAATTCCAGGATGAGCAAACCTGCCTTCCCAGCAGCACTCCCTGCTCATGGCATGGCTTCTCACCTTAAGCCTCTGCCCCCTATTTTTAGCCTGGTTCCCCAAGCTGGGGTTGACAGGATTTGTTTGCTTGCTCCCAGGGTAACCCTGGCAACTTCTGAACCCTGAGCCACCCCGAGGGGCAGGTCCCTATCCCAAATCCAGCTGGAAGGCAGCCAGCCTTCCCATCCTGGCCAACCCTCTCAAAGAAACCCCGCTGTTGACCTCCCAGGCCTCCAAGTCTGCTGAATTCCCCCAGCAGCTGCTCACAACAATATCCCAGTGAGGTGCTTTCCCCCTGTGGAGCACGAGGTGCCATCTGGCAACTTCTGTTTGGGTGTCCTTGTAGGAATTTGGCTTCTGCCAGAGGGAAGCAGCGTGGCTGTCACTGAGCCCTGCCACAAACCCAGCCTGACTTTAGGGTTAGGAGGCAACACTCACACAATCAGAACTGATTTAATGCCAGATCTGGGTTTGTATTGTTTTCCTGACAGGAATATGAGACATGGCACCTTTGTAGGACCATGGAATGTGCTGAGTTGGAAGTGCCCCTCAAGGATGATTCAACTCCAGGCCCTCAGACACCTCAATAATCCCACCATGCTCCTGGGAGTGTCATCCAAACTTTCCCCTGGGCTTTTCCCAGGCCACACATCCTGAACTTGAACAGTTTCTTGTCCACCTGCTTTGTTCTGGTGTGGTTCAGGGATCAGGGAAACACCAGAAGGGATGGGTTATCCATGGAAACACCAGGAGGAATGGTGGAATGGGATGGGTTTTAAGGTCCCTTCCACCAATTCAAAAAAAAGGCAGGGAAAAAGGAGAGATGCAACCTCTCTGGCTTTTCCATAGCCTTGTTTCATAGGATCACAGCTGGCTCCTCCTGTTGGAACTACCCCAAAATCCTTCCTTTGCTTTATGGTTTTAAACTTCTGCAGTTCCCAGGACACACAGAGAACACCAGGCCTGATTTTTGTCTGGTTTTTAACACTCACACAGAAATAAATATGTTTTTACACCTTGGTGCTTTGTCAGGCTGGCTGGGAAAATGGGTATTGAGGAGATGAAACCCAGAGCTCAATGGAAAAGAGGAAACAAGAGTTATGTGTTTCTTATCCTTCCTCCTTCCCTGCCTGTATTCCCTATAAATCATCCCTATGTGGGTGATATACAGTCTGCAACTCCAGCAATTCCTGTGCTGCTCCAATCTCAGCTGACCTTGGGAAAGTGGAAACTTTCATAAATATTTGTCAGGAGGCAGACAAAGCCCCCAGAAAGGATTTATTGCCCTCACTGAACATTCCAGGATATTTCCAAGGGATGGAGTGACAGGACACAGGGAATGGCTTCCCACTGCCAGAGGGCAGGGCTGGATGGGATATTGGGGAGGAATTGTTCCCTGGCAGGGTGGGCAGAGGCTGGGATGGAATTCCCAGAGCAGCTGGGGCTGCCCCTGGATCCCTGGCAGTGCCCAAGGCCAGGCTGGAGCAGCCTGGGACAGTGGAAGGTGTCCCTGCCCATGGGATGAGGTGGCCCTGGATGAGCTTTGAGCTCCCCACTCACCCCAGTTTCCCTCTGTGTCCCTCTGAATCTCCAAAACAAAGATGTTCATCCAAACGAATTTTGCTTCCTGTGGAACTCTTCCAATAGGAAGGAGCCAGAAATCCCTGCTTTGCTGAAACATGGCTATTTCCCCTCCACATTAAATAAGAACTGACTCAACAGCAGCACTTTAGGAGCTGAATTCCAAGAGCCCCTGCTTGCTGGCCATTGCCAAGGTCCTGCATTTTTCCTGTTTCCCAGCTTGATCTGGTGGAACCAACAAAAATAGCAGCAGCTGTTGCTGAGAGCAGCGTTTGCAAGCTGAGCTTTCCTGATCCTGGCAGCTGCACACACAGAGTGGCTGCTCCTGTCCCAGCAAGAGGGGACAGCCTGCTCTACCTGCTGAAGGGATTCCTCTTCTCCCAGGATGGAAGAGAATTCCCCAAAATCAGCCAGAGGGGTGGTCAGGGTCTTGTCCCAGGGAACAGGGACAGGACAAGGGGAAAGGGCCTCAGGCTGGGCCAGGGGAGGCTCAGCTGGGACAGCAGCAGCAATTTCTGCATGGAAAGGGTGCTCAGGCCTTGGCAGGGGCTGCCCAGGGAGCTTTGCAGTGCCCAGCCCTGCAGGTGTCCCAGGAAGGGCTGGAGGTGGCACTCAGTGCTCTGGGCTGGGGACAAGGTGGGCACTGGGCACAGCTGGGACTCCAGGGGCTGGCAGGGATTCTCCAGCCCAAATGATCCATAAAGATTTTTAGGAACTTTTCCACATCTCCCTTAGGCCAGATTCAGCCTCTCTCCTCACCTAAGTTTAGAGATAAATGATAATTTGCATATCCAAATTAGATTCCCACTCCCTACCTCAAGCCAACATTGATTTAGGGTTGTCTATAGAACACACTGTGCTGGGTTAGGCTGGAAAATAAGTCAAGACTTCAATAAACCCCATCTAAGACATGGCTCAGGGTGGTTGTGGCTGCCCCTGGATCACTGGTAATGCCCAAGGCCAGGCTGGACATTTGGAGCAGCCTGGGACGGGGGAAGGTGTCCCTGACATGGCAGGGGTGGAATTTTGGAGCTATAAAGTCCATTCCAACCCAAACCATCCTGGGATTCTGGGATTTTAGGAGAAGATGGGAAGTAAAATAATGGAGTAAAAGTGAAGTCTACAAGACACACTATAGGTTGAATTTCGAAGGATGAATCCTCCAAAATTAATTCAAATTGGGCAGCAGGGTGGAAGTTGTCCATGACAGTGACTTAATTTTTTTTTTTTTTCAGTAATCCAGATTCCACTGGTTGGGAAAGCCCTAAATTTCCTATCCCAATTAGAGCACTATGGGACTCTACAGAAAAATAATCTGCAAAATTATACACTAAGAAGACACTCAAAAAAGCAAATTTAACTATTTTTACTCAAATACTCAACTGTGCTAAACCCCTTTAACTCCACCCCTGACCCCTGCACTGAAAACTGATTTTTGTTGCTTGACAACAAACAGAGCCAAGCTTTTTATGAGTAAAGGGTAAATATTGGGCAAATACATTAAAATATATTAAAATTTTTGTCTCTCTATAAAGCCGAGAGGTAAAAATGATTTTTGCAGAAATGTCTGGAAGCGAAATGCTAAAAAGCAATGAGGAATGTCACAGGTTTCATGCAAAAAAATCATTCCAAGGAAAATTAAATAGAGGAAGGAGGATTCTATGGCTAAGATATGTGGGAAATGGAAAAACTCACTGCTGTGGGGTCTTGGAAATATCAAATGGAGTTAAACTCCAACAATCCCATCCATGATCCTGCTCTGCTTCCCAGTTTGGATTTGTCTGAAATAAAACCCCTATTTTTATGTTTAATTCCTGCCTCCAGCCGGAGCTGAAATCTCTGGCTCAGCTCACATCCTGATCCAGCCTCTGCCCAGATTTGATGGGCTCCCAACACATCCCATCTTCCCAAACGTTGCCAAGACTCTTTCCATGAGCAGACAAGCCCAAGGATGTGTTTCCATCTACAAAGGATGCCTTTAGTTTCAACAGGAGTTCAAAATCCAGGGAAAATTAAAACATGGCCCTGCAATGGTGGGATAAAAGTAGACATCCTGCACATGCTGGAGAAGGGAATATGCTGCAAATGTTGGGAAAGGATGGGAAAAAAAAGGGTCAGATCATCCCCAGGATTTTGCTGAGCTCAGAAAGAGTGATGTCATGTCACAGACATCTTTTATGGAAAATCCTTTCCTTAGGATTTTTCCTCCTAAGAAGCTGACAGGCCTCAGGAACAAAATGTAAACATTGATTATCTGCTGCTGTGGAATGCAACAGGTGCATCTGTGATTGGTCTCATAGAGTTGTTTCTAATTAATAGCCAATCACAGTCAGCTGGCTTGGACACAGAGTCTGAGCCACAAGCCTTTGTTTTCATTCTTTCTTTTTCTATTCTTAGCCAGCCTTCTGATGAAATCCTTTCTTCTATTCTTTTAGTATAGTTTTAATATAATATATATCATAAAATAATAAATCAAGTCTTC